CCATCCATCCATCCATCCATCCATCCATCCATCCATCCATCCATCCATCCATCCATTTTCTTCCACCTATCCGGGGTCGGTTCGCGGGGGCAGCAGCTTCAGAAGGGAGGCCCAGACCTCCCTCTCCCCAGCCACTTCTTCCAGCTCCTCCGGGGGAACTCCAAGGTGTTCCCAGGCCAGCCGAGAGACTTTTAGCTACAGTTTAACTAATATTAGCATGTTTTGCTAGTTTTAGCTACTATTCAACTAGTATTAGCATATTTTGGTACCTTTAGCTACAGTTTAACTAACATTAGCACGTTTTGTTACTTTTAGCTACTGTTTAACTAGTATTAGCATTTTTGGTACTTTTAGCTACAGTTTAACTAATATTAGCATGTTTTGCTACTTTTACCTACTGTTTATCTAGTATTAGCATATTTTGGTACTTTTAGCTACAGTTTAACTAATATTAACACGTTTTGTTACTTTTACCTACTGTTCAACTAGTATTAGCATATTTTGGTACCTTTAGCTACAGTTTAACTAATATTAGCATGTTTTGCTACTTTTAGCTACTGTTCAACTAGTATTAACATATTTTGGTACTTTTAGCTACAGTTTAATTAATATTAGCATGTTTTGCTACTTTTAGCTACTGTTTTCCTAATTCTACTTTTGATATCTACACTGTCAAGCTGCTTTAAGCTTTTTTTCCAACCTTTCTACTACATTTCACTACAGTTTTCCAGTAACTAGTTTTAAACTTGTGTTCTGCTGCTTTGAAATTTTAGCTACTTCCAGTTTTAGGCACCGTTCTGCATTTTCTGGCTATAATTTTTCTAATTTTAGCCACTATTTACCTGCACAGTGTTAAATTATATTTTTATTGCTATGTACAGTATTTTGTTTATTTATTTTTTAAAAATTGATGTCACAGGCACTTTAATAATTCCAGGTATTTTATTATTATTTTTGTTTTGTCAGCCTCCTGAATCTCAGGAGTTTTAATCAAACGTGTCTTACTGTAGTCGGACCAGCTGGAGTAGAGCACGTGGCGAGCGTCGGGGGTGAAGCAGACGTCCAGCACGCTCCAGCCCACGTCGCGCGCCTTCACTGTTCGCTGCAGGTGGAAGCGCCCCCTGGTGGTGTCGTACAGGCGGATGTTCTGGTCTGAAAACAGTAAAAGTATCTGCTGTTCACATGTGGATTTATTTATTACAGCGTTACAACAAATCCTAATTGTCCTTCCTGCTCAGTTTGTAAAAGATAAAAAAACAAAGTAAAAAGTTTTCTCTTAGCTCGTCAACACCGCGAACGCGACACAGGATCTACTGTGTTTCAGGTCTTGTGTTGGATTATTTACCTTGACACGCAGACAGGAACATGTTGCCGTCCTCGCTGTAAACGCCACAGAAGGCTTTCTGCAGGTACATGTCTTTGTGAGACACATAATTTGGCAGAAAACTGAAAAAGAAACCAACCAGTTGGCGTCACATTGTGTAGTTTTCATGTGTGTGTGAGATTGAAGCACACGAAGCAGATCTTTTTAAAATTTAATTTACTCCGATTAATTTTTTATAGCAGAAATAAAGACAAAAAATCTGTAAAAGTTACTTACTGTGTGCGGATACGGCTGCACTCTCCGTGGGAAAAACTTGAGCCTCTACACCTGCCCTGTTCCCTCTGTGCAAAACAAGAAATAATAAACACTTCGGTTAAATCAGCACCTAATAAAACCTCTGATAAAACATCCAATAAAACTTTAAATGCAAACACAGTATAAATCAGAGCTTAGCTTCTGGCCGGGAGCCTCCTGCAAACACACAAACAATGCTACAAAATATAAAGAAACAAACTTTTAGAATCGTTTTCCTCACTTTTATTCAATAATTATTACATATGTTTAATGTAAGAACAGATTTTAAACAAAACATTATACTAAAACTGAAAAAACAACTTTTATAAGAACAAAAATAATAATAATTAAACACCTCTTAAATAACATTTCAGGCCAACATTGTTAATAAGAAACTGTTCTTAATGT